CGATCACCACACAAAAAATATATTTCACAAAATTACATAATCTGATCCTAGATCCAACGAATGGATGTACATGTTTTCTAAATAAATAATTAAACTTATCCGGTCAACCTTCTGGCGAATAATTATTACAAACATTCATCCATAAATTCATTGACATGTATGAGGCTTCAAAAACAAATTTAAAACCATACATCACATTCAACAACATTCATCAAACACATAGTCGACCATAATTGTTGATTAAACTAATTCCTGCGAAACCGAGTTATGCGAATATAATCCAATATATGGCCGCGTTTGAACAAAATTGTCAAATAAAGCCGTAAAAATTTGAACTTTGTACAAAAAGAATTAGCCAAGTGCGCTGATACCAATTGTTGGGATCTGTGAGGATCTCGTTATGTATAAATCACGAATTCAACAGCAAACGTAAACCTATGCACAATGGATCTAAAGGTTTGACGTAGAAAACTTACAACTTAAAATTTATGGCGATTTGACTGATCTTCAATTGACCGAGATGAACACACGAACACGTCGGGATCACGAACAGAACATCGGGCTCGCGATCGAGTCACGTGGGTGTGCGGGTCGGATTTCCGGGAGTAGCCGCAGATGGTGGCGCGTAGCGGCGGGATCGCAGCATTTTGGGAGGCGCGTCGCGGGGCTGGTCGTCGCGGCTCTGGTCGGTCACGACGGCGATCGACTAGTCGGCGGTCCTCGGGCTCAGGCTCGTGAATCGTCAATTGCTGTAGAAGATTACCAATTCTCGATTACCTATGGATCTTCTACTGTATATCTCAAAACACCTTCTTCAACTTGTACCGGTGGAGCAACAAGAAGAAGATAAAGCTCGAATGAGATCTAGAGAGAGATGGGGCGTGCAGGGCGTGTATAATGTCCAACTTTTCTTTTCTCATGGGCTTAATGAAGTATATATAGAGCTATAATAGGAACTCTTAGAAGATTAAGAATAAAACTCTTTAATTAATTAGACTAACTGTGGGTCAAATCTACTCTTCTAATTAATTAAATAATATTATGTGCCACCAACATAATATTAATGCACTCTCTTCTTCTAGCCCAATTTACATTTGAGACTCTAATAATAATTACCCGAATTACCTCCCCATGTTTAATATATAATGTCCATTAATTAATTCAATTACTGATAATCAAGAATTAATTAATTTATTAATATTATTTCACCGAAGATAACGCTCGTTCATCACATTCTTACTATGCCAGAATTTAATCCACCTGCAGGTTCTAGCATAATAATCCTTCATGAACTCACTCCGGGGATATCATCAAACTAAACGTACATGGTGACCGTAAATATCCTAATAGCACATCATACATACAACAGTATTACCCAAGACAGTAAGACTATTGATCCAGTTCACTGAACCTCACCCATGCGAATCAAAATAATAAATGCAGCATATATATGTTTATTTAATATCTTACGGGTTAAGAGAACGTAGTAACTGACCTAGGCCTAGTTCGTTTACACGATCAGTATAAAATGATCTGTTCCTCTCTGAGATTTTATTCAATACATAAATGTACTAGTGCAATTAATCAGTCAAGACAAACTGTATTGTTGACACTACAACCGTTCGGATGGGGTGTTCATTTCCATCTAGGTTGTGAACCATAATTCCTGTTTCTCAAGTAACTGATAGAATGATCTTCGGTTCGCCCGATGACGACCCACACTATGTAATTGCAAAATAACAGAACGTAGAACTTGTTTAATCTAATATGTTTCTCATTCATAAAGGGTAAAAGTGTAATATCATGCAAAACCAAGCTTTTAGTATATAACACTAACAAATAAAACTACAAAGCCCTGATAGGAGAATCGACGACCCCACCGGGATAATACCCGCTCTCGCTCGGGCTTAAACAGAGGTCAACGACCCAAATAAAAAACTCAAACCTACCAACCAGAGCAAAAACAAAACGAAACAAAAACTACAAGCAACTAAACAATTAAACGACCCCTTCTAAAGCAGCATAACCGAGCTAAACCAGCTGACACCAAGTCGACACAAAGAGAATCCCACGGCCCAATAAAACCGACTCCGAAATTGCCCGAAATCGCTAAACGGTTCTCTAACAAAGTCGAAACATAAGCACCGGAACTCTCCCAAAAGCCGACTCGCTCCATAGTCGAAAAACACCAAAATAGCCCCCGAATCGCCGCTATATCGAACAGGCTAACACCACTAGCGAAGTTCGGACGCACCCGACACACCCCCTGATCCCAG